TTTTTTTTTTTTTTTTTTTTTTTTTTTTTTTTTTCTGCTCGCCCGATCTCAAGTCTCTATCTTCAATGTAGTGTACACATCCGGGAAAGCGAGTCAGAGCTTGCCTCGTGTGGGCAATCTCACTGATCACGATGGATAGGTGGAAAAAACATGCTTAGACGCTTTTTCCACAACGTGCAGGACTCACACTGCATAAGAAAACATGGTCAACATTACGGAGTGCACATGCCCCGACCATATGTGGAAAATGCTAACGAAGCACTGTCCGCTTCACTGTTTTTGTGTTTCGAATGCACTGCGTGCACAGGAAATGGACAGCGGTCCACTGGTGTGCGACTGCGGCAGACCTTTCATGTCCTTACGGACTTTAAACTCGCATCGTGCGAGGGCATGCCCGGCCGTGGTGGAAGAGGGGGCGCAAAGGCAGGAGAACAATGCTGCCCACGACCCGGGGCCATCCGACATGGGCGCAGCGAATCTCGCAGCTGATGACAGCGACGACGCGGGGGCAAGGGACAACGCGAACGGGGCAGCGGGTGACAACGCAGAGTCGGAAGCGTAACCCATCGAGCCTTTTGACAGCTCGCGCAGGCTAGCAGCGCTTATTTTGTCCGCACGTGGCGGCGTCGGTATGTCGCATTGCGACGTTGATGCTCTCTTGTCACTTCTCAAAGACCCGAGATTCAGCGCGACGGACATTGCGTACCACAACAGTCGAGAGTGCTTCGCATGGGCGGGCAATGTTGCAGAGGCCACCGGGTGGAAGGAGTCGGACCTGTGTAGTGACGACTGGCCTGAAGGAGCGCACGCCATCTTGTGGCACCGCGATTGGCGAACTGCATTCTTGTCGATAATGCAGGTCGCGTTGCAAAAATGCGAGACGGTTCATTCCCTTGAAGTGTCCCCGCCGTCGGACGACCACAGTGTGTCCGGTCCGCGCAGTGGGGCGCTAAGCTATCACACGCAGTCAATCATTCGAGCGCACAAAGGTGTCGACGAGAATGAAAATCCACGATATGTGATCCCTCTCTCACTCTACTCCGACAAGACACACACAGACGGTCGTCAGAAACAGACCGCATACTCTCTTATGATGTCGCTAGCCGACCACGCGTCGGAAGCCACTCTGCTGGCCTACCTCCCCGTGCTTCATCATCGACCCCGTGACAAAGGATGGGGTCTTCAGTCCAGCGCATTTAGGAAGCAAAAGGCCGTCATCTTCCACAAGGCCCTTTCGATGGTCTTGCAAGCTGCGAAGGAGGCGTCGCACGACGGCATCACGATACCATCGACGCGATTCGGGGACGTGACTGTCCACCCTTTCCTCCTCAACTATATACAGGACTATCCAGAACGATGTGCACTGGCGAATGTGAAGTTAGGTGTATGCCCCACATGCACCGTGTCGAAAACGGACCTCGATGTTGTGGCCGATTTCACGGACTGCAGGAGATCCCAGACGCTGGAAACCCAACTTGCAGAAGCCCTGTTCACGGCGGACGACGATGACGTGCGCCGCGAAGCGGGAGGGCGAATGACAGAGTTGGACATGCATAGGCATGTTGAACAGAACGGCCTTTGGGGGTTCTGCAGGGGGCCGAGCGGCGATGATCCTCAACTAGACTACCACCTCGCATTGCAACCAGACCATATGCACACGATCGAACATGGCATATTCCTGCACATGGTCGACGCATTCAGGGCGGCAGCCTTTGAGAAGTTGCCGCACACACCGCAAACTGAGATCCTGAAAGAACTCGATGCGAGATTGCAATGCGTTAGTGAGAGATGTACGCGAACATATCCCCAACTTGTGCTGCCAGTGGCCACAGGCAGCGATTTTTTTTCTAGAGAGGGACGCTTCGAGGCGAATCAGAACCGGTCTGTGATGACAGTGTGCATGTTCCTCATTTTTAATATAATCCCGCGCTCGACAGGCACGGGCATTACTGCCTGTTTCGTCAAGCTGATGCAAATGTACGTACGTTTGTTTCGGCGCACAGCACACACTCAAGCTTCCCTCGACGAATGCGACGCGTTGATGACGGACTTCGTAACGACCATTAAAGCGAAATTGGGAAGATACCAACCATCGAATTGGAAACTCCTGAAGTTGCATGATCTTATGCAAATGAGAGCGAGTATCGAGCGATCCGGTGTGACCGACACATTCGCTGCAGACGTTTGGGAGCATCACCACAGGAGATTCTGAAAACAACCGTACTTGTCATCGAACAAAAGGAAAGCGTCAACGCAGATGGTCAACCACGTGCGCCGGTCGCTGGCGTTGCAGGAGGAGACCGGAATTGTAAGGAAAAGAAGGAAAAGGGCCGTTGAGAATAGGTATTCTGTGACGGACTGTATGGCAACGGGGTTGAACACCCTGGCACTACGCGACACATCAATCCTTCAACTACACTGGTTCAACATCGATCAAGACCAGATACGCGAGGTGGAAGGCGTTGACAGTCGTGCGTGTCAGATACTCGAAGAGCTCCCTTTAAGAACCAATTTTCGAGCAGCGATTATGGCGTACATGGCGGAGAATGGTTGTCAACCTCCTACCAATGATCTCGCTATACACACGCGAACACATCTCGCCATCGCTTGCACGCAGGACGGAACAAACAGGGGCACACTTGTTCAAACTGCACGAGCGTCGCCGCGGTTCTACGGGAGACCAGTGCACAGCGACGTCGCAATAAGAGCAGCCAACGAATGTACGTGGTTCGCATCAGTGGCCATGTTTTTCGTCGTCGATGCACCCACAGACGGCGGCAATGTGGAACACAAGTGCGCTTTTGTGCAGTGGTACAAAGAGGTTGACAGTGAACGAGAACACGTGACAGGTTGCAAGGAATTGAAATGGGAGAATGCGAATGGACATCAGCACAGCAGYGTCGTTTCGACCGACACCATTGTGGACACCGTTCACATTGTTCCGCGCTTCTGTAAACCACAATGGGGATCGAAAATGCATGCGCGCCACCGTGAGGACTGTTTTTTTTTAAACAATTACATATTGTAGAAGGAATAAATTTGAAGCTTGTGTGAGAGAGAGAGAGAGAGAGAGAGAGAGAGAGAGAGAGAGAGAGAGGAGAGAGACTCATTTCAATTACGACAAAATCAATAAGTCTGTCTATTTCTTGTCGTCGACAAGATGGTCATGCTGTCCTCGGCCAAAGTAATATGATGGCGTAACGCTAACATAACTACGAAGGAGAACCAAAACCTCATGCGAAACGAAGGTGACAAACAAAAGTTGACTACTGCGGGCCATGTAACGGAACACCGCTGCTGGTTGTTCTCGTTCTGGCCCGCAGTAGTCAACCTCTCTCTCTCTCTCTCTCTCTCTCTCTCTCTCTCTCTCTCTCTCTCTCTCTCTCTCTCACGAACTCTCTCGTCCCCACCTATGTACAAAGGGAGAAAAAAAAATAAAATAAAAAAAAATCAATTACAGCATCTCGACTAAAACCGTTTGCCGTTGCTAAAAAACACAACTAATCCTCTGAGTCTTCTGCCTCTCCCTACATGTGTGATCAGGAACACAAAGTCGCGAAGCCGCAAAGCGGGGAGGGGCGAAGGGGGAGGAGCGACACGGAACACAGAGTAACAGGGCGCAGGTAAGACAAAGGGATCAAGGATGGCAGAGTCGCACAATAGTAATTGTTCCGTTGCTGCGAAGGGGCCATACCAGCGCACCGAAACGGGTAATGATGACAGGGATAGAAAACCGTTGTTGCCAACGAGCAGCCGGAGGTCAGCACAGAGCTGGCAGAACATGTTATCAGACCCTTGGTGCGTGGAAATGTACGATTTACTGACTGAGGGTGCAGCGGAGTGGCCCCAGTCCAGCGGAGAACAGTCTTCCTGTTGTGTGGGAAAACGGAAAGCAGGGGACATGACTACTGCGAGGGATGAGCAGACGGACATCACTGACGTGAACAAATTGTTCCCTTTTACATGAAAATCTGCGCAACACGCCATACCCGCATCAAAATCCGACATTGAACGGTTGTCGGACGACGGATGGCTGAACGACAATATTATTGACATTTATTTGCAGTCTGTGTATGAAGAGGTTGGGCGGGGCCAGGATAGGTCTTCTGTTCACGTCTGCACAACTTTCTGGCATCCCGAGGTCGTCGCCAATGAAAGTTCTGGGCAGTTGAGGAAAAAAGGATGGGAGGACGCAATTAAGATCAGACCACAGAAGTTGCATCGACTGTGCAACGAACTGCGACGCGCATCGGTCACTGTGATACCAGTAAACTGTAACAAACACTTGACTCTTCTTCTGTTGCTGAATGTGAGGTCTTTCTTGGAGGTTTCTGCGGACAGCCGCATATCCGACCCTCCCATTGCTATCGTCGGTGACTCAATGAGAGGAAAAAAGCGAGAAGAATGGACCGCGTTGCGAAAACTTTTGTGGCACGAGTACCTTCACGAGGCTTCTAATTTGCAGTGTCTCACCCCCGAAAAGGTTCATTTTTCGTGGGTGACATGCAGGGATCTGGCAGGAAGTAAACTTGCGCATGCAGAATGCCCGCAACAGAACAATCAGACGGACTGTGGTGTTTATGTGTGTTCCATCGCTACCACCCTAATACAATTTCTCGGAAGAACCGCGGCAAAGGATGTGAGGGCGAAGGACGTACTGGAAGTTATCAAAACTACAATGGTGAACGAAATAACTGTTCGACAATTTCGCGAGTCGATGGTGGACCGTCTTGCTGCATGTGCTGCAGTCACAAAAGGCAACCTCACTTTAGCGGCTTCACAAGTAGCCAAAGCGTTGCAAAGCATAATAAACAGAAAATAGAGCAACACTTATAGGAATGAGATATTCTCCAGGTCACCGAACGCGATGCGAGGAAAGTTGACTACTGCGGGCCAAAATGACATGAAATGTGGGATGTGTCGACATGTTTGGCCCGCAGTAGCCAACCTTATCGCTCTGATGGACGAGACAACTATTCGGGGACGTGACTGTTGAGAATTTTTTTTTGTTCCCAGATTATGTGATCTCCTGCCACCTGACAATACAAATGCAGTCACTGACGCACAAAGAGGTTGCTCCCTTGCATGACTTCGCAATTTCAAATCTCTCTCTCTCTCTCCCTCTCTCTCTCTCTCTCTCTCTCTCTCTCTCTCTCTCTCTCTCTCTCTCTACGTGATAAACAACATTTCTGACGCACTTGTGGTTCTTATTCCACTTTGATGCATGTGGGAAAAAAGGGTGATGGCTCCAAGGCAAAAATACGAGGATCTGTGCAGGTCTTTGAAACCCGCGGAAAAGAAGCACAAGTGTCGGAAGAAATCGGGGGCTGAGAAGAGGAAGTCGAAAGAGCATCGCAGAAACGGTGCCGACCTCTCCGCGAAAACGGTGCACAGGCGCAGGCGTAAATCCGGGTCGAAAGTTACAGTCCCTTCGAGTGAGCGGGACATTTCAACGCTGAAAGAACGTAACAAGTTGCCCCCCTCGACCCCTGTCGGGAGAAAGCGCGGAAGAGGCGCCGAGAACCGTCCGCCGAGGGCCCAGGAAAAAAATCGCGGGATGATAGAAGCGTGACTACTCATCGGAGTTCAAAGAAGAGAATATCCTACAAAGACGAGAGATCAGTGGAGACAATCGATCTTGGAGGGTCTGACGACAGGCACAACACACCCCAAGCGGAAGAAGAGGAGGAACACGACCGTTGCACGCCAGAGAAGTGAGGGAGACGACAGCGGTCCTTCCCGCGGGTAGTCGCAAGACACCGACGAGGACGACAACAGCGACGGCAAATCGGCCAGCCAGAGTACCGGCGAAGACCGGAGCGCCGCTTCGGAAGGAGATGATTCGAGGACGCTGCGCAGCGAAGGAGAATGGCAGGCACGCAATGACAGCGACACCGAGGAGCCTGTCGGTGACAGACAAATCGTGCAGCACGTGAGCGCCACTGGAAAAGGTAAAAAACCCGCGTCGCACTCGCTCCCCTCCCACTCACGAGCAACTAATCCCGTGCCCCCACGGGGCG